CAATGAGAGCGGTATTTTAACAAACTAGACCATTTCATCTATGACTAAAACTTCCAATGCATCCCTACCGCTACTTCAGAGTAAAATCTCCCATCTTTACAATGATCTACAAGGTCCTACGCCTTTGGGTCCTCACTGCCCTTGGATGTCATCTACTACAACTGCACCTCGCGACTTTGGTCTTGCACACCAAGCACACTCGTATTTCAGGGCCATGGTGTCTGCTGCTCCTCAGCCAGCAGGGTCCTCTCCCATTTGCTCATGGGTCACTCCTCACTCCCTTCTAGTGTCACTCACATGGGGTGGCCTTCCCAGCTCTTCCAAAACAGCACTACCACAGCCACCACCAGGCAGCCGCCTTGCTTTGCCTCATAGTCCTTACACCTCAGCATCTGTTAACTGTTTTCTATATTGGAATAAAAAAAAAAACAAAACAGGATGCCTGTCTGTGTACTGCAATACCCCAGCCCTCATTATAGTGCTGATAGGAACACATAATATGCATTTGAAGAATAATTGAATTCACATTCATTTCACTTCAGCACAGAACTGGATTAACATTTACAGACTGTGAAAATATATATATGAAACATGCAATTAAAAGTTATCAAAAGAGGAACCACCACTGTGGGGTAGCACGTTGAGTCACTGCCTGGTTGCTCCACATCCAATCCAGCTAACGCACCTGGGAAAGCAGCAACAGACAGCCGTGTGCCTGGGCTCCCGCACCTACAGAGGAGACAGGAAGCAACCTCCTGGCTTGGCCTGACCCAGTCCTGGGGAGCGAATCAGCAGTAGATGGAAGACCTCTGTCTATCTCACCCTCTGTAACTCTGCCTTTCATCAACAACAAATTACTCAAAGATATTCAACAGGTAAGAACCCAGAAATTCTACGTTGGTCCATTAAATGCTAGTTTCACAGAACTGAAAATTCAAGTATGTAGAGTATGTATTCGAGTAAATACACAGAGAAGACATCAATTAAAATTACAATATTTAATTTCTTTTTGCCACATTTGAAATCTTCAAGTATCTTTCTACCCAGGCAGTCCATTACTGAGTACTCAGTCCATTATTGAGACTGCTAAGGCGTAAGTGAATTGGGTGGCTGGTGGTGAGGGTGGCAAGGGTTAGGCAAGGGTTAGGCAAGGGAGAAGCCCTTGACAAAACCGAAACAGGTTACGTTTGACTGGGCCACATGCAAATACTTCTCACCAGGGTCTCCTGTCCCCCCAGTCCTGGAAACTGTTTTGCTCCCCTTCCTAGATGTCCTGTCTTCCACCTGTTCCTCCAGCCTGACCTTCACAGATGCCAGTTATGGACCGAGGTCAGCAGTGTACAGCACTACTTGCCTCATCCACCCTGAGGAGCAGAGAGATTCCTAACGGTTGCATGTTACATTTAAGGTCCTCAGGAGAAGCGCATGTCTGCTGCTATACAGTCCATAACCAAACTGCAATAAAGTACCACTCCTCTGCATGGAGGTGACAAGACACAAGCTCAGCCTGCAGTGAGACGGTCGGATTCATCTGTAATTGCATGTCTGCCAATATTCCTCTTCCTTGTGTCAACCAGCTCTCACCCCGCTCCTGTGGAGGTCAGAGTGGAGCCGGTGAGCCACCATGTCCTCCCTCACACCCCTGCCATCCCATAGATCAGGCAGAAAAAGGTAGTAAGAATTCCCTGTAACCACTACACCTCAGCACATAAGTCAGAAAAGCAGGCGTACAGTCCAGCTCTGCTACCTTCAATAAGGATAGTTCCTAAGCAATGCTACGGTTTGAGGCCATTTTACCCTAAGTATTTTATATAGATATTGATAACTATATCTAATCTATATATAGATATATCTTCTTTGCCATGAATTAAGTGAAAAGCCAAATAAGCTTGAAAAGATGCAAAAGACTTTAAGAAGCTGCACACTTTACATTTCCCCTACTACCCAGGAAAGCCAAGAGAGGCGCCACCTACAAAGACTCCCAATACCTGGAAGAGCTCCCAGGCAACTGCACCTAAAGGAACAACTCCACGCAGGTGAAGGCTTCAAACCACGAGCCACTATCCTGGATCCTTAACCATTTCTGATGATGTTAAAGTTGTCCATAAGTATTTATTGCCTTGCTACCCTCCATTTTTAAAATTTCTTCCTGTAGGGGCAGAAAACACCACTGTGGTTTGAATTTTTTTTTTACAACTTTTAAAAAAAAATCAATTCCTGGCATGGATTCTAAAGAGCTTCTGCCTTCTGTAAATCTCTTCCCTCAGCCTCTCGCCAGCTGGGCAGCTCCTGAATCCTTCACACACCTGTAGAGGTTCTCCAGGCCTAACCCCAAATCCTGCCTTTAGACCTCATTTATCTACTCTGAGCAACTCCAGGCTTGACTCTAAACCAACAACCCAATGCCTCTTGAAGACATCAGTTATTCAAGCAGCATCGTTGGTCCTTGCTGCGCACCCCTCTCAAAACCACATCTTCAATCATTCCCACCTGGCCAACAGTGCGGCTATCAATGCAGCTGTTCCAGTCTCTCACTGGAAGAAAAGCCATACTGGACCCACTCTGTCCTCAGACTATCATCTCCGAGTCAGACACAGGAAGAGCCTAAGTCTCTTTCTTTAAATCCACCATCGCTTGTCCTCACTACCTGCCTGCCGCCTCTCCGCTCAAGGAGTCTGAACACCATCCCCCCTCACTACCCAACACCCAGGGTTCCTGGCCTCCAATGTCTACCCTGCTGTCAATGCCTCCTTCAGGACCCAGCCCCAGGGTTACACTTCTTCAAAATGACCTTCCCCAAAACCCATTCCAACCAGATGCTCTCTGGCACGTACGTAGATGTGACAGGACTGGAAGCCTTCAGGACTTGCAGGAGGGGGAAGCCAACCAGCCAGGGTCAGCAACTCCAGGCAAGGTTACAAACTCAAGTCGAGGGCCCCTCCCTCCTACCCACCTGCTGCAGGGCACAGGTGTGGCTGCGGCTGTGCTACATCATCTCAGGCACTTCTCTCACCCACATGCTGAAACTCTCAGCAACAACATCTTTAACACATGGCTCCTTCCTCTGACCATCCAGGGGCAGTGCAGGACACGAAAGGTAGAAGGTAAAACAAATCCTACGGAGAACTCACTGCTCTGCAGAATAAACCAAGCTCTCAACACAGCACCTTATACACCACATTCATCTAATAATGTAGAACTCAAGACAATGTAAGACTGAAATCCTATACCTTAGAAGCATACTTTAATGTTATATTTCTAATATTCTTGAAAATCAGATTTTTAAAGAAAGAAGAACCATTGCCCATATGGGATGCTACCACAGCATATGGAAGCTTAGCATGCAATGCCACCATGCCAGGCCCCGTGCTACTTTCTAAAGGGCAAACCTAAGGGCAGGAAACCACCCGACTGGCCCTCAGTCCCCAGGCCCTGACCTAGGCTCTGCACTTTTTTCTAACCTTCACAGTCCACACGAAAGCTGAGGAAGCTGAGGCTGAATGAACTACACACAGTGCTGCCCTCAGACGCCAGCCAAGAACAAGCAAGCCAAAACAACACAGGATCTACCTCAAGTTTTGAGAACCTGAAGCACTCCGTTACTTTGAGATTTTAAACAAAACAAAATTTCCCCAGGAAGCAGACAGGTTCAAGGCGCATGACACCCCTCAAGGTCTTATTAAGTCTTATGGATTACTGCTAAACTACTTGCCTTTCAAGAAATAAACCCAAAATGTTTCTGGGTAATATTTTCAATAGTAAAAAGGCTCTGAAAAAAAGGAAAAATTACCGGTTCTACAAAGACTACATTTTGAAAAGAGACATAAAAGGAACTATAGCGCTATGAATAAAGGAAGGGCTTGAGAAACTGTTTTGGCTTTGCTACAAGTTACCACAGGGGGAAGTAACCGGTGTATTATCTAAGCTAAAAGATACCAGGCTTGAAAAAAATCAATAAGCTGACAGGCTAGACCTCTGCGATTATTACAAAATGTGCAATGGGAAAAGTCTCATATGAAGTAACAGTAAAATCACATCCAAAAGCCATCTCATGACATAAGAGATGTAACCTTCTCACGCTGTCACTTCAACCTAGGTGACAGCAACTCTAACCTCACCAACCCCACTGCTGCAGATACTGACACCTGTAAGAGCCGACTTCAAGTAACACGAACCGACAAAACAAAGTTAAATATTACTCAAATCTCCAAACAATCTATGTTCTCTCAAAACAATGAGTTTGAACCCTGGAGAAATAAAAATCTTATCATGGCTATATTTAAAAAAAAAAAAAAAAGGAATCCGAGAAATCACATTAGTCCTTCACCGTTACCGGATTCAATTTCCCTTCTGTCCACAGAATCTTTATACAAATATCCCAGGTCATTCCAGACAACCTTCACGGAGAAAAATAAAAGAGAACCCCAATTCTGGCAGTTCCCTCCCCCCCCCCGCCCCGTCTCACTCTCCCAAAAGGTTTACATTCCAAAACCTGGGCTTTCACCGCTTTCAGGCACACGGCTCCCAAACCTTAAGATTTCTGCGAGCCTGTGCATATTCAACACGGCAAGACTTGAGCTCCTTGAATAATTAATTCATAGCCCAAACACACCCTACTAAGATGTCCCTTCCATCAGCACGGCTCCTACTCTGGGGAACTCTAATGCGTCCGCAGAAGCAGCGGGCAGTTTCATAAAGGCCAAGGATGCGAGGCGTCCTCCACCTCCCTCCTCAGGCCCACGGCCACAGCTGTCATTCGGAGAGGCGCGGGGGAGCGAGAAGGCTTACTCGGGACCCAGCCCAGGAAGGGGAAAGGGGTGACCCGCAGCCTCTCCGGTATCGCGTAACGGGCCGAGGCCGCTGCAAACTTTCCAGGGCTTAAGTTACACTCCTCGGCAGTTCCAACCCTTGACAGCTGAGTGCGGGGATGCCAGCGGGCGCGCGCGCCCATCCCCGCCACCTCACCCGGGAGAGCCGCCTGCTGCGCCCGGCGCGCTCACCTTTTCCAGCTCGTCGTGGAGCTCCGCCAGGCTGGGCCGCAGCAGCTTCTCGCCCAGCTGCGCGGCCGTGTGCCGGTAGTGGTCGATCCTGGGCACGGCATCCATGGTGTTGTGGCCGAAGGTGCGCAGGTAGTAGGTGTTGGTGTGGGTATCGTAGTAGTAGTGCTGGTGGTGCCCGCTGCCGCCGCCCGAGTGCAGGCTGCTGCCCTCGCTCAGCACCGTGTCCCCGCCGTTCTGGAAGCTCACGTTGGGCCCGTCGCCTCCGACGCCCGCCGCATCCGACAGGCTGTCGTCCGCCGACGAGGAGGCGGCAGGGTCCACGAAGTTCACGCGGAAGCGGCCCTTGGCTTCCTCGCTGCCCTTGGCCGGCCCGCTCTCGCCGTCCGCGGCGGTCTCCTTAGCGCCCCCGGCCCCAGCTGCAGCGGCCGCCGCGGCCCGCCCGGCGTTCTCGGAAACCAGGTCCACCTGGAAGCGGCTCTGGCTCGGCGTGGGCCCCAGGGGTCTGCCCAGCCCGTCGCCGGCCGCCGCGGCGCTCTCCGCGCGGACCCCGCCGCCGCCGCTGCCGCCCCGGCTCGCAGCATCCTCCGGCGCCGAGGGCACCGCCGTGCCGGGCAGCTGCAGCCCGCCGGCGGCTGGCGGCGTCTCTCCGACTCCGGCCGGCCTCTGGGCGCCGGAGGACGGCCCCGCGGGCCCCGGTTCCATCGCTGCCCGACTCCCGGCGGCCCCGGACGATCTGGCGGACGTCGCGGGCCGTGCGCCCTCCACACGCCTGGCCGGCGACGGCGGCGGCTGCAAGGCCAGGTGAGGCGCTCTCCCTCCTCGCCGCCCGCCCGCCCGCTCGCTCGCTCGCTCGTCCGAGCCGGCACGAACGCCGCCGGCAGCCGAGTCAGCGCGAGTGCGGCGGGCGCGGGGCGGGCCCCGCTGTTTAAAGGCTCGGCGGGGCCGCGGCCGCGGCGGCTCGGGCTGCACGCGGGAGGCGGAGCCGGCGGCCTCTCCGCCCCTCAGCCCGCCCACCGCGGCGGCCCTCCGGAGCGGCCTGCTGCCGAGCGGCGGGCGTGGGGACGGCTCGCGTCCGGGAGGGTCGCGCCGCGCCGGGCCCGGGGGGACGGGCAGGCAGGGCCGCTCGTCGCCCGCCCGGGGCTCCCCGCCGCGCCGGCCCCTCGGCGGCCGTGAGGAGGCTCGGGGGGCTGCGCCGCCGCCTCGCGCGCTTTCTTTTTTTTTCCAGTTGTGAACGCGCAGCGCTGGGGCCCAGCCGGCGAGATCTCGCGAGATGCTGCAGGGCCACTTGGCCCTCTTCCCCCACCCCCGGGCGCGTGGTACCCGAGGCCCGGCCGGAGTTTGCCGCCCGCGGCCCCGAGTGCTGCGGGCCGTGTTTGGGGGCCTCCTGGCGGGGGCGCACGGGCGCGAGCCCAGCCTTACGGGGGCGGGGAGGGAGGAAGGATTTCCTCAGCGGCGCCGAGAGCGAGCGTCCCCCCGCCGGGCCGGGTTTGCATCCGCCGGGGTGGATGCCGTGGCGATGCGGTGGGTGTGTCCGCACTTGGCCTGGCGGCTTTATCCTAAGCAGCCGGGCTTGGGAAGATGAGGAGCGAGCCTAGCCGAGATCCGGTTTCAAGCCGGCGGTTAAGAGGGGGCGTTCTGCAGAAAGGACTAACGGGTGCTTTTCCCGGGAGGCAGCGCCTGGGCTGGGTTAGGAGGAATAGAAGCAGATACAAGCTCCAGGCCTTAAACTTGTCTTAGCAGCAAATCTAAATTCTCCCCGAAGCCCCAAATAAAGACAAGGCATGGCTTCCTTTCGTCTGTCTGATTTTTAACATCTTCAGTGTACACCTGAGTTGAATTAAGCAGCACGCCGGCTGGACCGTCGTCGCGGGTTCAGAGAGCATCGGAGGTGACAGAACTGTGAAGAAATGGGGCAGCCTCGCGGTTTTCAATACTTTGTCGTTAACCATGATCTCATTGGACCTTGACAACTTTTCATCTCGTTTTAATGTTCCCTGGTTTAAAGGTGGTGCAAGGAAGGACTGGGCAGGTAGGCAGGGTTTCTTAGGCTGAAGCAATAATGACGGAAAACCAGAAGCAGCAGGTGGGCCCTTCAGCGGTGCAGTTCCCTAGTAGGGAATTTCTGCATTGCGGGTTGGCCTTGGTGGTCCCTGGCAGTGCCAGGGCTAAGTACACAGCTGTGGGGCTTCCACATTCGTGTAGCGGAGCACAGCAGTGCCTACAATGATCTCTGCTGCGTTCTGGGAATAGAGAGTAGACAAGATTCACAGAAAAAAAAAAGAAAGATGGACAACCTGTCCACTGGTAGAGCTGGCTAAGGAAATGGAGTTCTGTGTGAGGTGGGAATGGCACAATTTCTCATGGGGATGGTCTCACAGAGAAGGTGACACTGCAGTGCAGAAGCAAAGGACAGGAGCACTTGGGAGTTCCAAGCAGAGGCCCAGCCAAGGCCTGAAGCAGGGATGGGCCACTAGAGCTGGACCGTGTACTTGGGCCCCTGCACATGGTCAGGCGGAGACCCTCAGTAGTCGGAGGACTACTGCTGTGGTCCTGGAAGATGATAAAGGAACTGAGATCCCTGTCACCTGCTAGTGATACCGTGCCTTTTCTGTGCTTAAATACATACAACCTTCATTCCAGTAGCCTACCGTTTTCAGCAAAGCAACATGATGTACATACCTGTAGCCTACACCATCTGAGTTTGTGTAAATGTGCCTAGTGATATTTATACAGCCACAAAATTGCTTTGTGATGCATTTCTCAGAAAGGACTCTTGTCCTTAAAAAAAACGCATGACTGTAATGAAAGGACAGGGTAGTTGCCTTCTGAATAGGCCAGGGTATCAGTCTTGGGGGAAGAGAAAGGAGATGTGTTGAGAGGTACTATACCATTCCAGGAAGTAATGTGGCTTTGACCACGGCAGGTGGCCTTGGGAACGCAGGCAACTGGATGAATTCTGGAAAGCGACTAGGCAACAGGAACATTTATATCGCTTTTTTTTTTTTTTTTTAAGGCAAGGAATCAGTGAAAGAAGCAAGGCTGTGTGGGATGCATAACAAAAGCTCCGTCTGAACTGTCTCTGGGAGGAAACAGAAATAAACCTATAGTAGTAACACATAGCAGTCACATAAATGTGCTATAGGAGAGGGACACGGCACAGTGAGAGGGCAGGCTTCAGAAGGAAGTGACTTCTCAGCAGTGATGGGGAAGACAAAACTAACTTGCAGGGGGTTTCAAAGGAAATAATACGGGCAAAACCCTTGCAGTGAGAACCTGGCATTAAGGAGCAAGAGCGCCGAGTGACGGTGTTGTCTTGATTCCAAAAGCACTATGAGACTGAGAGATGGAGGATCCCAGGAGCTGAAGTGAAGAGGAGGAAGAATAAGCCAGAGAGGGTGGGGCACCATAAACTACACAACTCAAAATAGTAACAGCATTAGCTAACAGCCAGTACATGCAATGATAGTAACCGTACAGCTAACAGTATGCCCTGGATATTTGGCTAAGCTCTACATTCAGACTCTCAATTCTCACAAGGCTACAGAGGCACATCAGAGGAGTCATCCCATTTCACAGGTGAAAAATGCAAAAGATAAAAGGCCTCCACGGGCTAGGTGGCAGGAGTGGCCTGATACAGAAAGAGGAGAAAAAGGCATTTCATGTTGGATCAGCAATATAAAATTGAACCTAGAGGCAAAAACAAACAAACAAACAACAACAAGCACCCATGAAAGTCATACCCACACAGTGACATGTATTAGCCACCAAGGAAGTGGAAGCACAGTGGGTGGAACTTTTGGCAGCAAAAGTTCCAGTAGCTGCCATGTAAATATACACCTGCACCTTGCAGTGACATGGTCAGGAAAGGTCTCCTTTAGCATCCTGTGACTCACGTGTCAGATGCAAGTGTAGGAGTCGGCTGCGAAGGGCACAAACCAACCGTCAGCGTCCACGGGGAGGAATGGTCTGCTAGTTTCGCTCCTCTCTCCCTCTGGCTGGAAGGGCTGCCTTTGACAACCTGTGTAGCAACGTAGAGAGCAATAGCAATTGAATGTGCTTGGAATTTTCTAGGGTCAGAAGGGATTTCAATTGTTATTCCTAATTTCACATTTCTCAGAAGGGCTGAAAGATCCCAAAAGGAAACAAGAAGTAGCCTAGAGTTCAAGCTCAGTGCAGCTGCAGTGTCTGAATACACAGTGAGGCTCTACCCATGTGCTAGGAGGTAAAATCAGTTTGTTTGCTTGTTTGTTACAACGAGGTTGAGTGGAACATGCTGTGCTCAAGTTCTACCTGGTTGAGGTTTTGCTACTTTACCAGCTGGCAGGCTGCAGACAGATTAAGTCAGTGGCATTTCCCTTGAGAAAGAAAGTGATTATCCCATCATGGAAAAAAGAAAAATGTTACCTTAGAGATGCTTGTTTATGCTGTTAATGTCGTAATTTTGTTTTCTTACCTAAGTCCCAGTTGCATTCCTCTTTAATTAAAAATAGTATGGAGGTTTTAAAGTCAGATACAAAATTAAGCATTAATCAAAAAACCTTATTGTGCTTTTAATGAGATAATATTTTAAAAATCATGTTTTAAAATAGCTTTCAAAGGATAGCCCACATTTTAAAAATAAATTTGCTCTGTTATGCTTTGCTTATCCAAATAGTTTACAAGAACTGCATTTAAAATAAACAAAGTCTCTCTCCACATTCCCTACGTCCACCTTCACATGGATTTGTCAGAAAGCAAGTCAAGAAAATCTGTTCCAACTCAAATTCTCCACTAGAAAAGCTATTTTTCTCTGCAGTGATTTACTTGTATACTTCTAATTGTGCAGGCTGCACTACTCAAAGCTCAGAATCATTACGAGATATCAGTACGCAAAGTGATGTGTCTACCTGATTGCTTAGCGCTTGCGCACATGGCCACCGACACCTGACTGCCTGGATTTGCGTCTCGGCTTCACAACTCACCGAGTGTGTGACCGCAGTGTCATCTCTCTGTGTCTCAGTTTCTTCATCTGGGAAATAGGGAATAGCAATGCTGATTGCCTCATAGAATCAGAAGGCTCGTGTGCGCAGCCATTGGTGAGATGCTTAGAACAAGGGCTGATGTATACAAACATCGACTGCATGCATGTTGATGACTTTTTAAAAAAAAATGATTGTTTTGAAAGGCCAAGTTAGAGAGGGAGAAACAGAGAGAAAGACATTTTACATTTGGTGGTTCACTTGCCAGATTGCCACATACCCAGGGCTGGCGCAAGCCAGAGCCAGGAACTGGAACACCTCCTGGGCCTCCCACATGGGTGGCACGGAACTAATTCCTCTCTCACAGTTGTGTCTTTTGTAGGTTTTTTATTTCATTTTTGTTTTGGTGCTCCAAGGTATTTAAGTGATTCTTGATTAATACGTGATTATTTTTCTGGACCAGATTTCTAAAGTAGTTGTTAGTATTATTCTGTTGCCACTGGGAGTGTGCAAATTTGAACAGCACCATTCTTAGTATCTTGCATCCATTTTCTTCCACTGCACCCTTTAAAATTAATATGTACCAGGGCCTGGTGTGATAGCCTAGCAGGGAGCCTGTGGCCTAGGGAAGCAGTCAAGGATGGCCCAAAGCCTTTGGACCCTGCATCCACCAGGGAGAGACCCAGTAGAGGCTCCTGGCTCCTGGCTTCGGATTGGTGCAGCTCTGGCTGTTGCGGCCACCTGGGAAGTGAATTAGCAGACGGAAGATGTTCCTCTCTGTCTCTTGACTTTGCAATGAAAATGAATAAATCTTCAAAAAATTAATATGTACCAATACACTAACAGAACATTTTGTCTGCATTCACTGTACTGTATCATGCTATTTTTTAAAAATTAGGGCTCAGCACTGTGGTTAAGCCTATATCCCGTATCGGTGCTGCTTCCTTTAGCAGCTATTCCACTTCCAATCCAGGTTTCTGCTTATGGCCCAGGAAGGCAGCAGATGATTACCAAGACTGGAAGATTTCCCAAGATACTTGAAACCCTTGAAAACCTTAAATATGCAGAGGATCTTAGATGATAATGTATTAAGTCCTTATTTGGAAGAATTCTTTTTTAAAAAATATTTTAAAGAAAGGGATTTATTTTCTTTAGTAATACATTCAAATGGTTATAGATGCTTATAGACACAGCACTGGACACTCAACCCAACAGTTACTGAAGAACAGGACAAAAAATTAAAAAATAAAGAACAGGACAAGGGGCTGCTGTTGTGGTGCAGTATGTTAGGCAGCTACGTGTAACACCAGCATCCCATCTGCTCCAGCGTGCTGCTATGGCACCTGGGAAGGCAGCGGGAGATGCCCAGGTGTCTGTCACCCATGTGGGGGACCAGGCTTTGGCCTGGCCCAACACTGGCTGATACAAAATCAACTGCTCTCTCTCTCTTGCTCTGATTTTCAAATAAATAAATCTTAAAGACAAAGTAAAATAACAGGCTAGTCTAATGACTATTGTGAACCATCTCTGTAACAATTCAAATGCTTTGATTCTTGTCACGTTCTTCAAAGTTTATGGTAGCCCATAAAATCTGAGTTTTATTCTTTTTTTTTTTTTTTTTAAAGATTTATTTTTATTATTTTTTCATTGGAAAGGCGGATATACAGAGAGGAGAGACAGAGAGGAAGATCTTCCGTCCGATGATTCACTCCCCAAGTGAGCGCAACGGGCCGATGCTATGCCGATCCGAAGCCAGGAGCCTCTTCCGGGTCTCCCACGCGGGTGCAGGTTCCCAAAGCTTTGGGCTGTCCTCGACTGCTTTCCCAGGCCACAAGCAGGGAGCTGGAAGGGAAGCGGGGCTGCCGGGATTAGAACCGGCGCCCATATGGGATCCCGGGCGTGCAAGGCGAGGACCTTTAACCACTTGCGCCACCGCGCCGGGCCCGAGTTTTATTCTTTAAATGACTTCCTCTGGCAAGTCATTATAGAGGCCAATTTCTAACCGTGCAATTATTTTTTACTAATTTCCTTTGGTTCCCTTTCCAACTAATTTAGTTTTCCTTGAAGAGGGGGCCAAAATCATTAGGTTCAATATTCTAGTTTAAACAAACAAGTTAATGGTTATAAAGGTTAAGACAGGTCTGAGAGTTCAAGTAATTGTTTTCACTTAAAAAAAAAAAAAGACAACTAGCTGACTTTGACCCTGGCTCAGAGGATCTGCCCTTCTGATGAGTCAGAAAACTTACTTGCTACTTAAGAGATGTGAGCCAGAGGTAGGGCCCTGTAACCACTTAAAACCACAGCCCTATCTCTGCTGTAACCAAGGTCTACAGACATAAAATGCATAGCAAGAATTTCATAAGTAGTTAAGCATTGAGATACTTATTATTCATATTACTTTTCAAATTATAAAAGGAATCCATGATACTTACCTGGCAGGGGAGATGCCACGATCACACAGGTGGTTTTCCCAGGGCAAGGCTCATCCATTGCACTTGGGATGTGCTGATCCCTGCGATTTCCCCAAATGTGGGAAACTGCATAATTTGTGATAGTGGGGGACTGCGTTCGTGCTTTCCCCTGGGAAAAAAAAATGAATCCATGTTCAATACAGAAGTCATAGAAAAAAGAACCCCCAAGGAAGCGAGAACAAATACCATCACCCAAAATGATGTGTAACTTCACAAAATGGTTTTATTGTGCTTTGTAACTCTTCAAACTTTACCAAAAATCTAAACAGTTTTCAATATGTAACACTCAATCTGTTATAGCGTGGGAAGTCCAATGGCTTCACAATATTGTTTTGCTTATATTTACATAATTTACTGAGTCTGTCACTTATTTTTGAACACTTCGTTGATTTCCCTTTTAAGTTAATTAATTAGTTCATTTTATTCATTTGACAGACACATCTCCCATCTGCTGTTTCACTCTCCAAATCCAAAACTGCTAGGGCTGGGCAAGGCCCACACGAGGACCAGTGTGGGTTTTGCCATCACCGGCTGCCTCTTAGGTGTGCATCAGCAGGAAGCTGGGGTCCAAAGTGGAGCACTCTTACATGGGCTGCATCTTAAGTGCTGCTGTGCCAAATGCTCACTCCAATTCCCTTCCCTTGCAGATAAGAGCCATCAGTGCTGCCTTAAATAGCTCTGTGCGTATATCTGTCTTCACAATTGATTTTCCTTTAGCATAAATTCCTAGAAGTGAAACTGCTGGTTATGTATATTTATAAAACTTTGGCATACACTGCAAACTGCTTCTCAGAAAGGTTCTGTCAGCTTCTCCTATCAGCAATGTGTGTGTATATGTGTCTTTCACTATCCTTACAAGTTCTGAGTAACAGACATCTTAATCTTTATAAATCTGGTTAGCAAAATATGGTTTAACTTTTACACCATTGACTGCTAGTGAAGGCACATTTTGAACATTTTATTAGTAATTAATAAATCCTTATTTCGGAATTGATTATTGATTTGTGTAGCAAAAATCTCCTGGAACTCTAGCTCCCACTGTTTTACTTTGAGACTAGGATACAAATTTTTGGTTGTATTTGGTGGAGTGGGTAGTGATCTCTCACAGTACAGTTTTGGAAGGAAATGGCGCTAGAGAATCTCACTGCCCCAGCCACACACAGAGCCTAGGATCCTAGTGCCAGCGTGGCTTGCCTCACAGTTGTCAACCTGGGCTAGAGACGCAACCCTGGGGCAGGCAGGTGGTAAGATGTCACTCCGGCTGCCTGAATCCCCATCACAAGGCCTGGGTTTGAGTCCCAGCTCTGCTTCCAATTCCAGATTCCCATTCATGCACACCTTTGGAGGCAGCAGGTGATGGCTCAAGCATTTTTTTTCTCTGTCAACCACATGGAAGACCCAGAATGAGTTTCTGTGTCCTGGCTGTGGTCCCTACCTAGCCCTGGCTGTCATGGACATTTGTAGACTAGAGCAACATATAGGAAGTATCTCTCCCACATTCACATTTAAACAAAACAAGGGGCCAGCCATACAGTGTAATGGTTATAGCTGCTGTCTGCAACATGTTTCCCATAGGGGTGCTGGTTTTAGTTTGTTGTTCCTCTAAAATCTAGCTCTCTGGTAAAGGCCTGGGAAAAGCAATAGAAGATCACCCAAGTACTTGGGTCCCTGTCACCTAGGTGGGAGACCTGAATGAAATTCCTGGCTCCTGGTTTAGACCTGTTGTAACCCTTGTCATTGTGGCCATTTAGGAAGTGAACCAGGAGAGAAGATTCCTCTCTCTCTCTCTGTATATACTTTTCTCTGTGTAACTTTCAAATAAATTTTTTAAAATCTTTTTCAAAGTTTTATGTTAAAAAATGTGAAACACAGGTCCAGCACAATGGTTTAATTGGCTAATCCTATTCCTTCAATCCTCATAAGGATGCACTGGTTCCTGTCCTGGATGCTCCACTTCCCTTCCATCTCCCTGTTTATGGCCTGGGAAAGCAGTAGAGCCAAAGTCTTGGGACCCAACATCCATGTGGGAGAGCCGGAAGGAGCTCCTGCCACCTGGGTTTGGATCGGCTCAGCTCAGCTCCAGCCATTGCGGCCACCTGGAGAGTGAATCAGCAGCTGGAAGATCTTCTCTGTCTCTCCTCTCTGTGTATCTGACTGTCCAATAAAAATAAATATTAAAAAAAGAAGATAAAGCCCTGTCTCATCCTCTCTCTAATTCTTTCAAGTAAATATTTTTTAAAAGAACATTTATGAATCATAGTTACAAACCATAAACTGATTTGATTTCACCCCATTTTTCAAGTGCTTTGTAGTTTTGCTATCACAGAGATGATACTCAATAATTTAGAAAAGTTCTCCAGTCAACTTTCTTTGAAAAAATAATGTAAAAATTGTTTTACTGTGAAACACCTCCATCCTTTCCTTTGTCACTGCTACTTCTGATACATTGCCTAGAGGCATTTACTATGACAAGATCATATATATATATAAATTAAAATGTACATTTTAAAAATTTTAAGAGTTTACCTATATCCCCTAATTCTTATGAAGTGATTCTTTCTTGGCTATAGTGCAATGGCTTAACCATTTCCACAAGTGCCTTAACTGATTACTCAGACTGTCATTTTAAAATGTGTTATGACTAATCTTCAATTTTCAATGTTGAAATAAAGTCCAAGAGGCAGAGAGAGAGCTCCTGTCTGCTGCTTCATGCCCCAGATGCCCACAAGGGGGTTGTGCCAGGATGCAGTCAGGAGCCAAGAACTCCATTGCAGCGCTGCCATAGGGGTTGCAGGAACCGACCACGGCAGCCATCCTCACGCCCCCAGGTGCGTGCCGGCTGGAAGCTTGCCGTGGACAAGCAGCCAGGCGCTCTGATCAGGGGCTCAGGTAGCTTCAGCACGAGGCAGGGGTCTGTTTCAGAGAGACATTGGTATTTTACAGAAGAGTTTCTTTTACTGTCCCCAGACTGTCATCTGGAAATGACGTGTGTGCACTTCTGCCTTTTCACCGAGACTCCCTTCCGGAAATGAGAGAGGGGAGCCTCGCTCTGTCGCTCTTTTCTGGCCAGTGGAAAGGGGGAACTAGAGAGCAGAAAACAGTTACCTTACACACACACACACACACACACACACACACACACACACACACACACTCTCTCTCTCTCTCTCTCTCTCTCTCTTTCTCTCTCTCTCTCTCTCTTTTCGGGTAGACCAAAATGCGGGCGCTTTGCTCTGCCTAGCAGGTGAGAAACACAGTTTTGTTTTCTTTCTTTCTTTTTTAACTAGGCAATCATGTGGCCTGCGCGGAAGGCCCCATGATGAAGGCATTCTGCCTGTAGCTAGAAAACCTGTGTTTTAAAATGTCATAAAACAATTTTAATAACTGACATTAAAATGGTAATTACGTTGAATGTGTAACCGAAAGTATGCCTACAAATACTGAGTGAAAGTTATCACTGGTAACATTTTTCCCTTTGTATTTTTCTTCAATTTTTATGTATTTAGGAGGAAAAGCAAGAGAAACAAAGAATATGAGCTCCCACCTGCTAGTTCATTCTTCAGACACTTGTGCGGGGCAGGACTGGCCTTGGCTAAAGCCTGGACCCGGGAACCGATCCAGGTTTCCCACTTGGGTGGCGGGAACCCAGGCACTTGAGTCACCAGCTCGTGCATTCCAGGGTCTGCATCTGCAGGAAACTGGAATCAGGAGCAAGAGGCAGGAATTGAACCCAGGCTCTTACCTGTGGAGGTATCCTGGGCAGTGTTACTGTGGAATCAGATCGTCACTGGGAGATTTTTTTTAAAGCTTTTTGGGATTTGGGATGAAGGTGGGGAACTAGTTAACAGAACTGTGGGTATTGATTTATTCTTTTAAAAAAAAATCCTTAATTAGTTTGTAGTAGATTCAATATAGTTTGTAAATACAATCTGGTGTAAAGGTTTTTAACATGTTTCTTCCACTTTCATTTCTCATTTCTAAGATTCTTTTCAGGGCAAGCTAGGTGAACATGACTAATGATAACAGAAAAGTTACGGAAGTATGATTGTTCAAGAGCAATTTGCAATTCAGAAAATAAATTTATCAGGAAGTATGGTATTCTTATAAAAACAACAGCCTATGTCTAGGCTGGGAGTGCAGACGAGAGGTGTACCAGTGAAAGACTGAGATGTTCCATCAGCCCATCTAAATCCAGGCTCTGCTCAGTGCTGATTTGATTGTGGACCTGGCTCCTGGCTTCCGGCTTCTGGTCAGTTCAGCTTTGGCCATTGCAGCCACTTGGGGAGTAAGTCAGCAAATGGAAGATCTTTCTCTCTGTCTCCTCCTTCTCTCTGTATATCTGCCTTTCCAATTAAAAACAAAGAAACAAACAAACAAAACAAGTGTTGACTACCTGTGTCCTGGACTTTTCTTTAAACATTTTTATGACAACCAGGTAATGGAAATGTTTCAGAAAGTTCTCCAGATAGACATAAAACCGATGTGAGGTTAGACATTCAGGAGAGAATAACGTTGAAAACAGTAAACAGAGTGAATAAACATGAATGGAAATTGACAGCATAAAATAACTTTAATGTTCATAAATTAGATTGTTAATATTAGAAACAATAAAGCTCACTGATAAAACAAAGGAAAATAAATTGTGTAATAATTTCAATAGACGCAGAAAAGATGTTTGACTAGGTTTAACATCTACTTGTGATTAAAATGTTATAAACTAGAAATGAAAACTTTAATTTTTTACTTTGTTTTTTAAAGATTTCCTTAATTGTTATTGGAAAGGCAGATCTACAGAGAGAAGGACAGAGAAAGATCTTCCATCCACTGGTTAATTCCCAAATGGCTATGAAGGTCAGAGCTGAGCCAATCCAAAACCGGGAAGCAGAGGTCTCTGCCAGACTCCCATGAGGGTGCAGGCGCCCAAGCTTTTGGGCCATCCCCCACTACCTTCCCTGCTGGATGGAAAGTGGAGCAGTCAGGACACAAACTAGTTTTCATATGGGATGCTGGCGCTTGCAGGCCACATTTTGCAGAATGATAAAACAGAATCTAAAAAGAACAAACAAACAAAAGTCCCCAAAAAACATATACTTAACACCTCAGAAGTTTCACTTTGGAGAAAGGAACTAATACCAGGAACCACTACTTTTATTCAACACAGTTTTTAAAGTCCTGGCTGGTGTTGTGGGGCAACAAGTTACCTGCCACCTGTGACTCCAAGCATCCCATGTGATCACTGGTTTGATCCCAGCTGCTCTACTTCTGTTCCAGCTGTCTGCTAACACAACTGGGAAAGCAGCGTGAGATGGTTCAGGTGCTCGTACTGCTGCATCCATGTAGGAGAACTGGAAGCAGGTCTAGTATCCTGGCTTCTCCTTGTCCCAGCCTTAAGCACTGTAGCCATCTTGAAGTAAGCCAGAAAATGCAAAATCTGTCTCTTTCTCTCTGTAACTGTTTGAAATTTAAAAAAAAATCTTCAAAAACACAGGTTCTAACCAGTCCAATATATGAAAACCAAACAAGTAGCAGCGTAACAGGTTAAGCCATCACCTGTGACTCCTGCATCTCATACAGGTGGAGGTTCGAGTCCCCACTGCTCCACTTCTAATCCAGCTCCAGGCAAAAGCATCTGGGGAAGCAATAGAACATAGCTCAAGTACTTGGGCCTTTGTACCCAAGTAAGAAACTGTGCATTTCTGAGATCTTTGTCTTTCTATTTTCTTTTTACTACATTAGACATATTGCCCTGTAAATCGTGGTAGTAGAATGTGAAATGAAAAATATGACTATTCACAAAAAAGAGGTAAAAATTCGGGATGATGGGAGAAAATGTTTTGTAACACATATAATAAAAGACAATTTATAACCAGATAAACTCTATAATCAACAGGAAAATGATGAAACAATAACAACATAGAAAAATGGGTAAGGGTCCAGCGTGGTGGCCTATAGTGGCCAACGTCCTCGCCTTGAATGCGCTGGGATCCAATATGGGCGCCGGTTCTAATCCCAGCAGCCCCGCTTCCCATCTAGCTCCCTGCCTGTGGCCTGGGAAAGCAGTCAAGGATGGCCCATAGCCTTGGGTTCCTGGACCCATGTGGCAGACCTGGAAGAGCTCCTGGCTCCTGACTTCAGAACAGCTCAGCTCCAGCCATTGCGGCTGCTCGGGAAGTGAATCATCAGACGGAAGATCTTACTCTCTGTCTCTCCTCCTCTCTGTACATCTGACATTACGATAAAAATAAAATAAATCTTTAAAAAAAAAAAAAAGGAAAAATGGGTAAAGAGTTTGTACATTCCTGCTTTGCACCGGCACTGTGGTGCAGCAAGTTAAACTGGTGCCCTGCAGTCCTGGACTCCCATATGTGCCAATTAAGAGACCTGGCTACTCCACTTCCAATCCAGCTCCCTGCTAATGTGCTCGGGTAATCAGCAGAGGATGACTGAAGCCCTTGGGCTCCTGTACCCATGTGGGAAGCGCACATGAAGCCTCTGGCTCCTGGCTTGGGCCTGGCCAATGTAGTCACCCGGAGAGATGAAGTGTCTCTTTCTCTGTGTGTGTGTCATTCACTACATCTCTTTCTCTTTTCTCTCTCTCTCTCTGTAACTCTGCCTTTCAAATAAATAGAAATATTTTTTTATAAATAGAGATGAACAGGTACTTCACAAAGATATTCAAATGACCAATAAACATTTAAAAAGCATTTAATTTCATTACCAATATTGCTAATTTGGATTAAAACAAAATGAAAAAGTACTATACCCCCACCTGGATAGGTACACTTAAGAAGACAACTAATGCCAGGTGCTGGCAAGAACACAGAGTGAACAGAAGTGTTTTCTATGGCTGGAAGGAATGTTAAATTGTTACAAGCACTTTGAAACCTGTTTAGCAGTTATGAAAGCTCACTATGATTATATTTCATGGTCGATAATTCTACTGCTAGGTGTTACACAGCACAGGAATACCTATAAACGTGCATAAGGGGAAAAGTACAAACAGCCACAGCCGCATTATTCAGAAGCCAGAAACCGGAAAGAATTCTCATGTTTGTCAACAGTCCCTTACACAGTCAAATATCATATAGCAAAGAAAACCGTGGAGTGGAAGCTCTGGGAACGGATATGGACAAACCCTACAACCTGAAGGAAGTTAAATGCGAACCGAGAGGGCTTTAAAAGGGTCAAGGAAAATGGCTATTGAGTGAGCATATGAACAACGGTCAAGGGTTCATGACCTGCTGAAAGCTGCAGGAAGCGACACTGGCAGCAGCTTGACCATCAGCAACGCAGGAGATGGATGGTGCTCGAAGCAGAACGCACACAAGCCTCACACTACCCTACCTTCTCACTGGTTTTAACTGTGTTCTACATGTTACTGGTTTTTCAAAAGCCAAGAATGCATTTCCAGAAGTAGAAAGGATCAGACTCAACAGTAATTCAAGCAGGACTATCACATGGTGTTTTAAAATGTCAGATAACTCAATTTGTGAAGAGTCACACTTTTATGCAATAGTGAAGATTAATATTTAGCATCAGATACACTTGGTAGTAAGTTCTGTCTATTATTTATCAACTATGTTTGGGGCATGTTAACTTCTTAATGCCTTAATTTCCTGGACTATAAGGAAACGAGGACCCTATGCAATGGCTCAACAGCTAAATCCTCATCTTGTAAGCGCCGGGATTTATATAGTCTCTATCCAGTTCATGTTCTGGTTGTTCAACTTCCCTTCTAGCTCCCTGCCTGTGGTCTGGAAAAGCAGCAGAGAATGGCCCAAGTCCTTGGGACCCTGCACACCTGCATGGGAGACTTGGGAGAAGCTCCTGGCTCCTGGCTTCGGATCAGCTCAGCTCCAACTGCTGTGGCCAACTGGGGAATGAACCAGTGGATGGAAAGTCTTTCTTTCTGTTTTTCCTTCTCTCCATAAATCTGATCTGCCTTTCCAATAAAAATTTAAAAATCTTTAAAAAAAATGAGCATCGAACAGCAAAACAAAACAAAACTCATAATACAGTGTTTTGTGAGGATTAGGGATCAGGGCTATTTCTCCTGGGTCATTTTGCTTCAGAATTTTAAAAAATGATACGGTTAAAAAATAAATAAAGGTATTCTCATGAGACATATTTACAAATAATGGAAGTGGTCTTTACTGACCACATATCAATGTGAAGATGTGTACTAAACGTGCCAAAGGGAAAGGTCAGATCACAATTTGAAAGCCAACAGATTTTGGAGCCAGTTATCTGTAGCAACCACAGCAGTTAAGCCACTCGGTCCAGAAGTATCAGACCTTGGTCTGTGCCTGTCAGTTTTCCAGTATGAGACTAATGACAGGAAGTAAAATGCAAGGAAACTTGCAAAGTGTGAAGAAAACGCAATCAAAAGATAAGCTTACTTTGGTACAAAAGAGCTTTGAAATTCATGCATAGTTTTTTCATAATATGTATTTTCCTTGAGCTCTCTGAGAACTCTCATGCCTCTAAACCAATCAAACAAGATTCTGTGCAGCTCACTAGCCCATATCTAACAATCACAGCATCCCTGAAGCCCTCCCCGTTATTCACTCTAGACTTTCTTTTTGTCATTTTTTCTGCCTGCCTTTGAGTCTCTGTCAAATGCATCTGGTGATGCCCAATTCCCTTGTTAGAGTAAGCCCTGACTCAGTAACCTCACGGCAGAACCTTTTAGCTTTGCCTCCCCATCGCAGTTTCCTTTCCCCTTCATCCACTGAACCGCAGTGGTTTTCCATGATCTTGCCTAGCTGCCTTCTTCAGACTGCCGTTGGTGGCTGGCCTGGGCCACCCCCAGCACTGTGCAAAGTTAGAGCTCATCTGGAGGTTGACAGGCCAGGCTTGCTGGTCTCTGTCCTGTGCGTTGTCTGCTCAGCTTCCTCGTTACTGACATGTGACAAACTGCAAGCCTTACGTATGCTGGATTCTTTCACCCTGAGTCAGGTTTTCAGTTGTCTGTCAGGAATTTTTTCCAATGAATTAAACATACCAACCTTAGAAACCGGTTTGTGAAGGAAGTAAGCAGAAATGAAATACTTCGTTGGTCTTTGCTTTTATGAAAAAATTTGGGCAAAACTTGCAGTTACCCAAATCATGTCCTTCCTGATAAACATGAAAACATTCAGGATGAAGATACGAATTCCGTTTTAAAATTGATCTTTTTAAGGTAAAAGTCCTTTTAAGAACATTTATGTATTTATTTTAGAAAAGCAGAGGCAGAGGTAGACACAGAGAGATCCTCCATCCATTGACTTGATACAAAAATGCTCACCACATGGATAGCAATCTCATTTCTAGCAGTTTTCCCCTTCATTCAGTAAAAGAAAGTCTTAGGGGCTGTACAGTGGCACAACAGGATAATCTTCCATGTGTGGTACCAGCATCCAGGCACTGGCTCATGTACCGGCTGCTCCACCTCCCATCCAGCTCCCTGCTTGTGGCCTGGGAAAGCAGTCGAGGACGCCCCAAAGCCTGGGGACCCTGCACCCACGTGGGGGGATCTAGAAGAAGCTCCTGGCTTGGGATCTCTCCCTCTTGCTCTTCTCTTTCTTTCTCCCCTTCTCTCTCCATCATCTGCCTCTCAGATAAAAATAAATTAAAAAGAAATTCTGAAAAGGGATTTTTTTCCTGCATATGTTGAATCTCAAATGTCTTTAACTTAAAAATCTCATGCCAGCTCTGGAGACTCAAGTTGGCCCCCACAGATTACTGGGATACTGAGAAATCCAACAAAGCTCTTAGTATGGCACTCATAAACACCTGCTTTGAGGGGGCCAGCACTTGGCCCAGCAGTTGGAACAGTGCTTAGGACTCCCACGTGCCATGTGGCAGGGACTGGGTTTGAGTCCTGGCTCTGCTCCCAGTCCAGCTTCCTGCAGATCTATACCCGGGAATGCAGTAGGTGATGGCTCAGTAGCGGGGTCCCTGCCTCCCACATGGGAAACTTAGATTCAGTTCCAATATGCTGGCTTCTACCTGGTCCAGACTGGTTGTTGCCCACATTTGGGGAGAGAAACAGAGGATGGGAGCATTCTTCAAATAAAATAAAATGCAAGAAAAATATTTGCTTTTAGCATTGCTATTTGAACATCTGTCTTTCTGCCTTGACAGCAGCAGCAGAGGGAAGATTTTACAGTTAGGTCTGACATTGGCCCGTGGACTAGATCTCAACCAGTCTGTTTAATATCTAGGTCAAGCATTGCTGTTATAGCTGTTCATTATTGAGTTGATGCTCATGTTCAATTTGACTCTCAGCTTTCCCAAGTGAGTTTCTTCCCAATTGTTCAGCTTCACTTAGAAGTCAATGCAGCTGTTTGATTTTTTTTTTTAAGCAACTCAAGGAAAACCGGTATCTGCAAAGATTTGCTGCTAGGTTTCCTAACTTCCTCCTGCCTGCTGGGGATGCTCTGAATGCCACTCAAGGCTGTTTTTTTTTTTTTTTTTAATCTGCATCCTCTTTACCTCATTTGACTTCTCATCCATCTCAGGAAAAACTCAAGATGCATAGTTTGCATCTGTAATCCTCTCATGTCATAATTTGTTTACACATGCTTAGCATTTAAAGGAGCACTATGGATCATCGGGGAAAATGCATTTTTTCTGTGGACATGTTCTTTGCCGCTTGATAATATTATGGGACTTTAAAATATGAGCTCTCTGTAGCTGCAGCGAGCAAAATCTTAATGAGTTTAGGATAGGTCAAAAGATTTACTGGCACTGGTGTGGTGGTGTAACGGGTTAATCCTCTACCTGCAGGCACTGGCATCTCATGTGGGCACTGGTTTGTGTCCCAGGTGCTCCACTTCCCACCCAGCTCTCTGCTGATGGCCCGGGAAAGCAGTGGAGGGTGGCCCAAGACCTTGGGACCCTGCACCTACATGGGAGACCAGCGAACAGAAGATCTTTGTCTCTGTATCTCCTTCTCTCTGTGTATCTGCCCTTCCAATAAAAATAAAGTAAATCTTTAAAAAAAGAAGAAGAGGAAAAAGTCCTGTTAATGGGAGCCGGGGGCAGGGGAGCGGCAGGGGAGGGGTAGAAGAGGGGCAGGGGAGGGACAGAGAAGGGCAGGGGAGAGGCAGGAGAGGGGGTGTATTCTTACTCTTCCCACAGACACAGAAGAGTAGGGGACTACATCTGTGTCATCTCTTCCCTTCCTGGCCCACTCTACCCTCAGCATGGTATACAGGTGTCTGTAATTTCCTCACCTTTTAAATAAACTGGATCCTTTTGTAATTCATTTTTATGCCTTTACTCAGAATGCTTTTCCATGGAAGACACAAGAATTTGGAGTATTGTGCTAAAAATGATAAAATGTAAAAAAAATTAATATACTTTCTAAATAAATTTAGTACAGTACAAACATGTTCATTAATCCTCCATGTTCAACATAATATTTGTCAATCAATATTTTATTTATCATCATATTAAATAATTGGTATAGATACACTATTTTCTAGTGACCTAAAACCTATTTCATATTGCTTATGAAAATATATTTACAGGGACTGGAGCCATGGCATGGTAGAGGATGCCTCTGCTTACAGCACCAGCACCCCATATGGATGCCGCTCTGTGTTTCAGCTGCTCCCAGCTGCTCCCCTTCCAGATCCGGCTTCCTGCTGCTGGCCTGGGAAATCAGCAGAGGATGGTCCAAGTCCTTAGGACCCTGCACCCAGGTCAGAGACCTGGAAGAAGCTCCTAATTCTGGCTTTAGATCACCTCAGCTCTAGCCATTGCACCCATTTGGGGGAGCGAAACAGCAGATGGAAGATCTCCCTCTGTCATCTATCTCTATATAACTCTGCCATTCAAATAAACAAACCTTAAAACAAAGAAAAGATTTTTACAGAACACTTGAGTTGATCATTAGATATGGAAACATCATTCTATTTTGAATTCAGAAATAAAATTTCCAATGGAGAAGATTACTTAATGTTATTTCCTAAAAACTCTTACATTTGTAATTTTAGGGACCCCCCCAAGCAGAGTGAATTCTAAATATCAAACTTGCATAAGCCTAAAGTCAATATCCATTTAGCTAAGCAAACAGCCTGGCAAAATGCTAAGAAAGAACTTCTTTAGCAGCCTTGAGAAATGCAATTATTATAAATAATGTAAATATTTTCAATAACAATTTATTAAATTGTTTTTAAACCAGTTATGTTCTTGTTTGATTAAGTCCTTTAACACTAGAATCAATCAAATTAGTTTGAATGAAATTGTGACTGTGCATATCCTAATAGGGATTAATTTTAGACTGTTTTTGTGAATGTAATATTTGGCTCAAGTTTATAGACAGCTTTTTCAAACCAGATCTACAAGACAGCTTATTTACATTTTTTCTACCTCCTAGGAAAGAAATTGAACTCTACAATGTCATTTAATCACACACAAAACAAAATTAAGACATCATCTAGAATAAAAAGACAACTGCTCAGTTCTACAACCATAATGACTTCAGTAATTCAGGATGGAAAGCACAAACTTTTCTACACTTCCAGGATAATTGAGGGGTTAACTGTATAATCTGAACATATGTGATAACTTCATACTTCGTGATGTTCAGGTTTATTTTGAAAAACTCAACTCCAAGTCAAGTTTGGAGATTCAGGATTTAAAACAGAGATGGCTCTGCAATGTGAGAAAGCCGTTGAAGCCAATCAGCATATGGTTCCCTGAATGGTGGGATCCCAAACAGCCAACCACTTACCCCATGGCTCTTCCTCCAGGCTAATATAAGAAGAGAAGTCTGAAAAACCTGCTCTCCTACTCAAACAGCTCACCGGCTCCCGACCCACCAGGACAAAGACAGGCAAGGCAAGGGAGAGCTGACTGTGGCAAAAGAGATCCTGGCAAAGGGTAAGTGGGTGTTGGAGGATGAGGACCAGAACCAAGCTAGGGCTCAGCTACATGCCCAGTGCCAGGGCTCAAAGCTAAGGTTGAATCCTGTTATTGCCAGCATCATGGAGCTACAGGGTACTCAATTCTCCAGCCCCCAGAATGGCTTCTCCATCTTAATTTTCAGATCTGGTATCATCATTTATTCCCACCCAAATCCTACCATTTCTTCACCTCTCAATTTAGGAAGCTTGACTGCTTATTAAACCATGGTGAAAATCAATGGCAGCTAAAAGGGGCTTCATTTCTTTTAGGGTTTAGTTTGAAGAAAATTGGAAAATTTGCTGTTATGGTGAGAGGACACTCAACTCACCTTCATAGATATATTAGAACTTCTCTAATACTGTTAAAGGATTAAGAGGGAATATGTCCATATGAAGATAGATTGTTCAAGATTGTTCATGTCTAGTACACAAATGATTGCTGGAAATCTCCTTTTGTTCTATAGGAAAATATCAAGTAATTCCCAAATAAAAGAAACAATGGGCTTTGTTATCATTCTTTTGTTGTTGTTGCTGTTGATTTCTTTTGCTAATTACGTGAGACTTGACTGGATATCAGAATGAGAGTTTTTATCAGTATAGTCACCTTTTGTCCCATGGGAAAATAATTCATGGACATCATATATCAGCTTTTGCCTTATTTGGTTGCTACAGTTAAGTAAAAATTGCATAAGGCCACAGTTTTGAACGAATCCTCTGCATTATGCCCCCAAAAGGTCAAAGTCTAAGTCAAAACGGGGGTGGGGGGTGGGGGGGAGGGGGTTGTGGGGGGGTATTTGGACTTTCTGAGTTCCACCAAGCTGAAATTGTTGGATTAATCTGACTTTCTGAGAATCAGGCTTAGAGAGATAGCCAACAAATTTCCCCAACCAGCCAGTTTCAACAGACATGATAATGAAGTTCCCTTTGTCTTAATCCTTTCACAAAAAAAGCAACAGGAACTAATCTGATGTTGCTAATTGATTATTTTCCTATTGTTCTGTCTCCTTGTCCCCACCCTCCAAGGGAGAGTAAGTTTGAAATGACCAATTAGCTATATTTGTGTGCTCTCTTTTCTTTAGTCATTCTCTATTTAAAAACCAACACACTTGTGTTCTTCCCATTAGGACTCTGATTCTATTTTAAATCATAAAATGTTGCCAGGTGTGAACGCTGAAAACAAAGCCAATGAAGATCTTGACACTACATTGCTGTCATGTTGTCCTTGTTTCTGTCAAAGAAAAGACTGGAGAATGTGATGCATCAGTGCTATCTGCAATACAATTTGCACCTAAGCAATCAAGCTTCCTAAATTTGAGAGGTAAAGAAATGGGAGGATTTGGGTGGGAATGGATGGTGATACCAGATCCGAAAGGCAGATTTACAGGGAGAAGGACAGACAGGAAGCTCTGTCTGCTGGTTCTCTCTCCAGGTGGCCATGACAGCTGGAGCTGAGCCTATCCAAAGCCAGGAGCCAGAAGCTTCTTCGGGGTCTCCTAGGTGGATGCAGGGTCCTAAAGCTTTGGGCCGTCCTCCACTGCTTTCCCAGGCCACAAGCAAGGAGCTGGAAGGGAAATGGAGTAGCCAGGACAGGATCTGGCACCCACATGGGATTCTGGCATGTGTGAGGAAGGATTTTAGCCATTGGATCAATTGTGCTGGACCCCAGAGTTCTGATTTTCAATAACAAAGTAAGGATGGACTTCAAACTTCTGGGGCCATCCAATCCCATTTCTAGCTCTAGCATCTATAGAACACAGAGAAAGTGGCTTATCTGGTCAGACTTCCTACACTGATGTTCCACGGATTTAAAGAAAACGATATATATATATATATCATAGTGCCATTCTGACATCATACTGCTAGCTTCTTAATTAATGAGTAGGGAGTGTCCTGACATCAGTATTGGGGACAGAACCAAAAAGGGCTGGTGGTAGTTGTTACTAAATGTTCAGAGAGGTAAACAGACGGCTGAGTCTTATAAAGCCCAACGGTTTATTTTGCAACTGGAGCCTCAAAGAGCAAATGAGAAAATTGAGAGTGGCTTATTGACTGAATGATTCACTTAGCAACTATCTTAATGCCACTTACTGGATAAAAGACAAGCAGTCCTGTTGAAGACGCACACAATATATACCGTAACGAGGCACCTCAAAAGCCTTCTTAAAACCACTCAAATCCCGCCGGCCTGTGTCGAGCTGTGTATAAGCTGCTGCGGGTTTGAACCAGTATCTTAGAGAGTCAAAGGGGCAACGCTCACCTAAACCCCAAACATTTCCCTACCATTTCCTACAGTACTTCCTTTCTGCACAGAGAACTGTGCAGATTCAGGTGCACAACCAGGAAGCACAGCGGAATTACCTCCGAGAGAATCATCCCTAACCAAAGGGGAGCATGCACTTATAAATAAACATTTCCTCTTTTTTATCTCCTAGATATGTTTTCTGAGCTGCATTTCATGAGGTTCATTCTCAGATTCCTCCGAGACTTAGCATCCATTGTCTTAGCAGTAGCCACTCAGGAAGGCATCGTCAGACTCATTCTCCTACATTCCTTGTCTCATCCCTTAGTCTTTCAGTCACACTCAGCACCATTACCCAAATAAACCATGGAGATGGGAGTCTATGTTTTAACTCTTCTTTAGGAGTCCCAATGTCAGACAAAGGCAGAGAGAAATCAACGTCATAATGAAGCGATAGCTTGAGAACGAACAGCAATCGCAAAGTGAACTGAATGATTTGCCAGAAAGGTTATGGAAGCCTTGACAATATTTAGCAATTAAACAATGAAAAAAGATAATGGGCAGCTGGGGAAGGCAGATGACAGATTCCACTCCAGCTGAGACTGGAATGCAATGGTAACACCTCCTAAACACTTGGGGCTAAAATATAGGAATCAATCAGAATTTGAAATCTCAGTCTAGAAGGTGAACAAAGCCTCAACAGAACAACTTTTTTTTTTTTTTGAGAACTAGACTCTATTTATTTTTATTGGAACGTTAGATATACAAAGAAAAGGAGAGACAGACAACATCTTCTGTTTGCTGGTTCACTCCCCAAGTAGTCACAACAGCCAGAGCTGAGGCAAACCAAAGCCAGGAGTCAGGAGCATCCTCTAGGTCTCCCACGTGGGCACAGGATCCCAAGGCTTTGGGTTGTCCTTGACTGCTTTCCCAGACCACAAGTAGGGAGCTGGATGGGAAGTGGAGCAGCCAGGACATGACCTGGTGCCCGTATGGGATCCTGGCAGTTGCAAGGCGAGAACTTTAGCCACTAGGCTATCATCAGGCCCTCTACAGTACAACTTTAAGCAGCAATGACCAAAGAGCTATAGACTGCATTTTACATACCGGTCAGATCTTGTGAATTGTTAAAAAAAGAGAAAAAAAAGAAAGAAAGAA